AGAAGAAGAAGAAGAAGAAGAAGAAGAAGAAGAAGAAGAAGAAGAAGAAGAAGAAGAAGAAGAAGCAGCAGCAGCAGCAGCAGCAGCTAGATCTAACTTGAGTGCTCCAACATTGATAGGACCTTTAAAACTTTTATAGGGTACTTGCTAGTGACAAAAGTTTATTTCTTTACACATATGTTTATTCCAGAAGCAACTAAAGCTCAAATTAGTTTTATTTTTATTTATTTTATTTTATTATTACTAGTTTTTGAGACAGAATCTTGCTCTTTCACCCAGGCTGTAAGGCAGTGGCACAATCTCCACTCACTGCAACCTCTACCTCCCAGGTTCAAGCGATTCTCCTGCCTCAGTCTCCCAAGTAGCTGGGATTACAGGCATGTGCCACCATGCCCAACTAATTTTTGTATTTTCTGTAGAGATGGGGTTTCACCATGTTGGCCAGGTTGGTCTCGAACTCCTGACCTCAGGTGATCTGCCCACCTCGGCCTCCCAAAGTGCTGGGATTACAGGCGTGAGCCTCTGCACCCAGTCCAGTTTTATCTTTAGACTAAGTTTTATTTTAAGCTAAGGCTCAAATCTGTTTTATTGTTAATTTCCACGTTGTGAACATCTTATCTCTGTTTATATGCACAAAAAATGATGTGTGTCCTTTATAGTGTAGCAATGTTAATATATAAACAACAAGAAAATGATACCAAATGGAAAATAAATGCATTACAGTGTGTCAGAGAAATTGCATCACACTCATGGCCAGAACATTCAATTCATTCTTTGCTTTATTAGACTTAGGGACAGCACCTTCCCTCTGTCCATTCACTGTCTGTGGAATTATAAACTTGCAATGTCTATCATTGCTGTCAACCTAATGAAAGGGGATGGGGGCAGAAAACTCCAGGGAGGAAATGGAAGCTCACAGATGACGCAAGCAGAGGGGGTAGAGGAAGGCCTGAGGACAGCGAGAATAACTCTGGGCCCAGGATTCTCCAGAGACAAGCAGACATGGCAATGCCAGGCAAGAAGCTGATGGTGATCTGAACCACTGGAGTGCACAACTGGAGAGGTAGAAATGCCTCATAGCTCCCTAACCAAGCCACTGAAGAAGATGCTCAGGGAGGTGATAATGAGCCCCCAGCTCTGACCCCCATCCCTTCCGGGAATTAGCCTTTCATGGTGTCAAACTTACTTTGAAAAGTCACGGAGTGAGTTCCCCAAGAGTCACGTGAAAATGAGTTAGTGGGAGGTTTCAGAACATCACATTAGCGGGTGGAGGGATACTTTAAGAGGCATTGATTGCATCAAAACTCCTAAGAAGGCGAGAGAAGTATTTGTAAGACTTTGGAAGAACTAGTTGAGGTATTTTGTTTGTTTTTCATTTGTTTGTTTTAGCACAAACTTGGCTATTGGGGGAAGCTTCAGAACACTTTAGTAGATAGGATCACTGCTGAGATTTCTAGTCCCTAAGAGGAATGGTGTCAAGAGGGATGCCAGTAAACATGTATAAAATGAGAGTGTTATCAAAAATGGAAAAACATGTAAAGAATGTGTGTGTGTGTGTGAATATGAATTACCAGAACAGTGAGATGTTAAGAGAGTTCGACAGCCTTAAGGAATGTGGGGTTGATCATTATGCCTGGCACATAATTATTGCACACTGGTTTGTTCTATGAGGTCGAATTAAATGTTAAGACACACAGATTCTTAGAATCAGAAAAGTGTGGAAGAGCACGCTGCCCAGCAGCCCACTAGTGCATGAGATGGCCCTTTCCCTGCCACAGGCAGGAGGGGTAACTTGCCCATGATCTGCACAGTGACCCGCCCCCAACAGCTCCTGTCTGTGCAAAATATGTTGCTGTTAGGAGTAGCCATTACTTTCTAAGTAGTAAAATAACAAAAATAATAATATCCGGAAATCTGCAATGGTCAGAACCACAGAGAGAGAATGAACCAGGAAAACCAGTATCAGGTATAGAGAGCTTCTCCTTCTGGCCCACTGTGTTAGGCAATGACCTCGTAGCCCCAAACTACATTTTTTCTATTCTTCCCTATGTTATTTTGCAAGCATTTGTATCACATGCACGTATTCTGAAATTCTATGAGTAGCAACTTATGTTTGAAACAGTCCCTGCCCTCTTCCCACAAAAGTATTCAAATACTTGGGTGAGGACTGGGGATCAGTCAGGGACGTGGTGGTTACTCACAACGGGCTCCTGCCTTACTGGGATTGGCAGCCTGGGAAAGATGGGAAGGCTGAGGACGTTCAGGGAGGTTTTTTTTTTTTTTTTCTTTTTTTGCGGGGGGGATATGAGAAACTTTGAGGGGATGAGAAGAAAGAGTTACTTCAGCTGTTCTCAGCTCAAATTTTAGCAGACATTCCTTTCTCCCCAGTGGCCATCAGCTTATGACATTGCTCCTCAGTTCCAATTATTTTCTGTTCCCATGTATGTCCAAGGGAAGAGCTCCTGCCATTTGGTGTGTGGGACTCCAGTGACTTCCAACTGGATGACGCCTACAGACAGAAAAGGACAGCAAGCAGCGTGTAGTTTGGCCACTTGGCTCAACTCTCACAGCCAATGACGCTGGGGAAAGGATCAAATGAGAAAAAGTGCGCAGTATCTGAGCTAAAGTAGCCGCTCAACAACGTATTGCCCCTATGGCAATTTTTAAATATAGAGTGTCTTTCAAACATTTTTTTGAAGTTTATTTTTAATTGACATATAATACTTGTATATATTTATATGGTACATAGCAATGTTTATACACACACACACACACACACACACACACACACACACATATATAGTGATCAGATGAGGGTAGTTAGCACATCCATCATCTCATCATCTCACACATTTATCGTTTGTTTTGGGAACATTTAATATTCTCCTTCTAGCTATCTGAAACAATATACAATATACTTTTGTTAACTCTAGTCATCCTACAGTGCCATAGAACACTAGAACTTATTCCTCCCATCTAGCTGTAATTTTGTGTCCCTTAACAAAAATCTCTCCCAAGTGGCCGTTTTGCTTTGTGAGCTAATATTCTCTCTCTCTCTCTCTCTGTCTCTCTCTGTCTGTCTCTCTCTGTCTCACACACACACACACACGCATACACACACAAATGATACACTTCATTTTTAATATGTCTCCTGGGAGTCTCATATAGCTAAATTCTGCTCCTTTTTGTAAGAAATGCTGATTGAGACCCAGTAAATGGATTTCCTAACCAACAAGGAATAGCTAACAGCTCTTTGAAAAACACAATCCTAATAAAATTTGAACGTTCTAATGGGCTGTAAAGGGTTAAGAGGGTTAAAGGACCCTAAAGGGTTAAAGTGAGGCAGGGTGCCCTAACCTGGCCCTAACCTGACCACACTCCCATCATGAGCGTTATACATCAACGGGTGATAACAGGACTGATTCTCTTTCCAGTCCTTAGATATAAAAGGGAGACAGCAATTAGGAAGAAAGAGAGTTATAGGAAGTGGTAGGAATTGAAGAGAAAGTAGAAAAGATCTTAACTCTACCTTATTAAAGTTTCATGATCCAATTACCAAATAGATGTTTTATTTTCTAAACTGTCATTTTGGTTTGCAATAACACCACACACTCTCTCTTTCTCTTTCTCTCTCTCTCTCTCTCTCTCTCTCTCTCTCTCTCTCGTTAATTTTGCAGCTCTCCTCAGAATTTTCTGTGGGGACCCTGATAAACATACGTAATATATTTTTAAAAATTGAATAATGGAAGGATTAAGACCTGGGGCCCTAATAATCAATTAAAAGACAATCTGATCATGTCTTTGCATTTTATAGGTGCTGCTTTAAATTCTAATTTCTAATATTTTTTCTTTCAAGGAAGCTTACAGGTTCGCTATCACCTAAACAAGGAAGAAACCCATGTATTCACCATTGATGCAGATAACTTTGCTAACAGAAGGATGCACCACTTGAAGATTAACCGAGAGGGAAGAGAGCTTACCATTCAGGTACCTTCGTTACTTTCTCCTGTATCAGCCACTGTGCCTTGGCTACTCTATCAAACTTTTCTAAGCTTCTACCCGATACCAGTGTAGTGCCTAGTGCTGGAAACATAATTACAAATCACACCTGCCCCCAGACTTGGAAGAACTAGGATAGTGGTTCTCAAGATGTGCTTCCCATGTCCCACAAGTATCAGTATCACTTGGGACCCTGTTAGAAATACAGATTCTTGGGCCAAGTGTGGTGTCTCACGCCTGTAATCCCACCACTTTGGGAGGCTGAGGCAGGTGGATCACAAGGTCAGGAGTTCGAGACCAACCTGGCCAACATGGCAAAACCCCATCTCTACTAAAAATACAAAAATTAGCCAGGTGTGGTGGCACACACCTGTAATCCCAGCTACTGGGGAGGCTGAGGTAGGAGAATCGCTTGAACCCAGGAGGTGGAGGTTGCAGTGAGCAGAGATCCCGCCACTGCACTCCAGCCTGGGAGAGAGAGTGACTCCATCTCAAAAAACAAACAAACAAACAAGCAAACAAACAGAAATGCAGATTCTTGGGTTCCACACCAGATCTACTAAATTGGAGGCTATGGAAGAGGGGAAAGCAGCAGGTGATACTAATGTCTGCTCAGGGTTGCCAACCCCTGGGCTGCATTACAGTGAGGAAGATGCATGGGCAAAGAGGAAATCATCACAGGCTGTGGGAAGGGTTGTGGAGGAAGAATGCACAGGTGATACTGAAGAGGGCGCTGATCCCACCTGGGTATCAGTACTTACTCCCTGGAGCAAGTTAGGAGTAAGCTGAGTCTTGAAGATGAGTAGAAGTTGGCCACATGGAGGAGAGTGCTCAGGAAGAGGGTCCGTGTGAGCGCAGGCTAAAGCTGTCTGAAAGCATGTTGTGTGGGAGGCACCCCATAAGATCTCAGTGAGCTCCATATAAAGGGCCAGCAGCAGATGATGGCAGAGCTCAACAGAGAATAGACAGAGCCCAGATCTTCCCCTTTAGAATCATGACCCTCAGCAAGCCCTTGCATCTGCCCAGCAATCACTCCATGTTTTTCAGTCTGTCTGTTCTCCTGTTCTCCTGGTTGACCATTTTACACTCTCTCCTCTTTACTTATACTGCTAACAATTGCCAGTTTGTCTTAACTCTCAGCAGATGACTTTGCTTTCTTATTTCTTGTAAAAATGTAACATTCAGAAGAGAATATCCGCACATTCTCAAGAGCATGTTACATATCTACCACATCTGTGTTTGCACTCTCTCTCCCTCCGGAATAGTTCATGGTTGTAGCTAAGGCCTGACCTGACTACCTGTGGGCCAGATCTGATATCCTACTGAAGAAAGTCACTCCAGAATTCTCCTTCCTCCCTCTGTTTCATCATTTGTTCCAGCTCTACTGAATGACTCCCCAAAGCATAAAACAAATAATTATTACATGCCTTAAGAACTAGTATACAATGACAATAGCTAAACAAGCAAACAAGCCAGCATATCTCTGGATAAAGAGAGGAAACCTTTCTCTTATCTGACTTCTTATAGTGTTCCATTCTCTTTGTCATTTTCTTGCCCATATTTTTGGAAATGTTGATATGTTTGTTCTTCAAATTTTCCCTACCTTTTTCTTATACCCACACTGAAAAGGTTTTGTCTCTGTGCTTCAGCAAAATTGTACTTCTTAAGGCATCAGTGTGCTTACCTTGCAAAATCTGGTGGTCATGTCTCAGTGTTATCTTTCCTTCTCCTCTCACTGGCAACTGACGTCAGGATTCCTTCCTGTTCTTGCAATTGACCTGAGTCTTTATTGCTTGCAGGATACAACTCTCGCCTGTTGATCCTTTTGCCTGTGTTAGTTGCTCCCTCTTGTCTCTTTTGTTGGTTTCCCATCATCTCTCAAAACTCTAGCCATCAGAACACCCAACGACTCCAACTTCTGCTTTTGATCTACACTCACTCCATACTCATCTCATTCAATCTCACATCTTTAAATTTCATGTACATGCCAATTAATCAGTCCTGAATGTGTATCTAACACTAATCCTGTCCCTGGATTCCAGACCTTATACCAACAACCTACTGGGCATACCTATAGGAATGTCTGTTAGGCATCGGAATATTTAAGTAAATAGTTAAAATTGACTTATTAGGAAGCTCCCCTGAAACAATGACCTCATCCCCAAAAGCATATCCCAGTTAGTGGCAGCTTCATTTTTCAAGTACACAATCTCAAAATTGTGGTGTTCTCCTTTCATCTCTCTTTCTCTTACATGCCGCATCTCGTGGATCAATAGCAGCTACCTTTCCGCAAGCCACCCTTGTCCTTTGCTTGGATTATCACTGTTTACAGTTGCCTTTTGATTGACATCTCCCTGCTCCTCTTTAGGTTCCCCAGCTGTCTATCCTCAACACAGCAGTCAGAGTGATCCTGGTGAAGGAATAGTCAGACTCTGGCATTCTGTCCAAACCCTGTCAATGGTTTCCTTTCTCTTACATAGAAAAAGTCAAAGGTCTTCCAGTGGCTTATAAGGATCTCCATGATCTAACACCCCTGCTCCCTTTCTGGTTGCTTCACTAACCTCATCTAATTATATGCCCTCTGGAACGTTAGCTGTGCCACTCTGGCCTCCTTGCTATTTGCAGAGCCCTTGGACTCACTGCTTTGCCTAGAATGCTATTCTTTATGTATATACATGTCCAGTTCTTGTACTTCCTTCTGGACTCAAATGATTCAAGAAGTCATTCTCATTGAGGCCGTGTCTGATCAGCTTATTTAATAGAACAATCTATTTCCTTGACTTCAACCCTACACTCCCTCTTATCCTTGCCTGCATTATTTTTTTGTCTCAGCACTTAAGTTCCAATACAATGTATTTACTTATCAAATTTTCTGTCCTAGCTCTCTCCTCTAGAATGTAAGTTGCCTGAGAACAGAGGAGGGTCATTCTGAGCAGCCATGCCAAAGGAAAGTCATGGCAAGGAAGATGGGAGGACTATGTATGAATCTCCGGTGGGTTGCACCCAAGCTGTGCAAAGTTAGGCACATGACCAATGGGATCTTAGTCTCCTCTTCTTACAGGTGAACTGAAAAATAATGAGGATCCTTTCCAGGAATAGCACCATATGCATAGTCAGAGTAGAGCCTGGAAGAAACCAGTAGGATATGGCTAGCCTGAAAAAGTGAGAATGAATGGGGAGGTCTCCTAGGAATGGGGAGAGGACCAAACAGATGGAGCTGGAATTAGCAATGGGTGAAGTAAGGAGGGATCTCTAAAGGATGGTCATAGAAATAAAGTCCTATTAAAGTCCCGGTGGTGGCTTTTGCTCACCCCTGCAAGATGGGATTATCAACCGTCTATGTTGGTTGCAACTAACTGTTCAGCTACCCTCTCCTCCCCAGGGCCACATGTTTTGTCGAACTGCAATCCTTGCCCAGGAAAAGCTCTCTGCCCACACCTAAATGAGACCAGGTTAGAATTATGGAACAATGGAGGCAGTGGTGGCCCTAAGGACAAACTGAGAGAAAGGGGGAGAAATGGAAAATGAGTTCCTGCCTCCTATGAATGTTAATCTTGCACAGCAAGTTCCTGAGCAGGTTTCATTTGTTTGCTTGTTTGCAGCAAAGAATTTGGTGAGAAAATCTCCATGGGGAGATAAATACCTGTAAAACGCTATATACAGTTTCCCAGGGAGAAGACTTGTGTGAAAACCCTTATTTCACAAAGAAGAAAGCAAGGGGTATTTTATGTGCATTGTGGGAGAATTAACGAGACCTGTCTAATCTCTCTGGAGAGGAAATCTCAGAGGGGGATCTGCTCTCTGTGTGCGTTGTTTCAAGCTATTTCCAGATGGGATCGTTTTATGCTTCTTACTTGCAGACCTGTGCTGATGTGCTTTTGTTTTCTGTTTTCCTGCAGATGGACCGTCAACTTCGACTCAGTTATAACTTCTCTCCAGAAGTAGAGTTCAGGGTTATAAGGTCACTCACCCTGGGCAAAGTCACAGGTATGTTGTTCTAGTTCATACCTTTCCAGTGGGCTTTATTAAAATAAATGAATACATAATTTTCATTAGGGTGTTTAAGGATTCAAGTCTGCAGCCTTTTGCTCCCGTCATATCTGAGATCTGAAACCAAGATTTCTTGTTCAGAAAATGCCAAGATGTATCTGTGGCAGAAATAGGCACTGCATTTCTATCTTATTTTATAAAAATTTCCAAGAGGTAAAATATTAAAGTAATTTAGCAGAATACTTAAATGTGTACTTAATTTTAAAATATATTTTTAAGTTTTACTTAATTTTAACTTAAATGTATGAGTGCATAAATTAAGGATTTGAACAACTCAATCGTTCATCAAAAATTTTAAAGGCATTGTAATTTCCTACTATAATAGTGAATCTTCTCTTTTTCTACTGGAAGTTCTGTCAATTTTCACTTTATATATAATGAGAGTATTCATTACATGCATACAAGATGGAAATTTTTTATCTACCTGATGAAGTGAACATTTCATCACACTTAAGTGATCTTTTTAAACTTTAGTAATGTCTTTCAATGCTTAAATTTATTTTGCCCATTATTAATATTCCTATTACAGTCTCACTTAACTTAGTATTTGCCTGGCCTCTTTTCTCATTCTTTTTCTTTCAAGTTTTCCTTTTCTTTCAGCTTTGTAGGAGATCTTGTGAAGAACATACCGCTAGATTTTATTTTTATACCCAATCTGTCCATCCTTTTTTTTTTATAATGGCAAATGTAGGTCCTTTTACATTATGGAGCTACTTGTACAATTGAACTTGTTTCTGCTACCCTATTTCCTATATATCCAACTTTTCCTGTGATTCCATCGTATTCTTTCTGACTCTCTCTCTCTATCACAGTACAGTGCAGAAAACATTAATAACTCAAGGCACTGTAAGCAGAAATACATTTAAAACAGTAAGTTAGTTGCTTACAAAATTGTATACTTACAGTGTGAGTTCTTTGTGGGGTCTTTTGGAATGACTTCCCCGTGCCCCAGACTGTATGCAAATTCATAAGTAGAAGGAGGAGGTCTCTGAAAAATGGTTGTGAAGAAGGCAGCACACGCCCCTGCTTTTGCTTGCCGGTAGATAGAGCTGAAAAGGCAGAAAAATGATTCCTGCTACAGCCCTCAAGCTTCATAAAGGGTTTATAATTTCCAGATGTAATGTTGATCCAGAAACCTAGCTGCAGTAGGGTCAAAAAAATGTCCATTTTAGTTCCCCAAATAGCAGTTGGAAGAACCAATCAACACTGATCCCAGATTGAGTTTCATTTATTTCTGATTCCATTCCCCCTCCTAATAATACTCATTTTTATGTTTTTAGATACTGCTTATTTTTGATATATTAATATAGACACTAGTTTATATATTCCTCGTTTCTTCCTTTATCTCAGACTTTTCTATTGTCTGCCAGACTTTATTTTCTTCTTTTGAACTAAATTCTTTTGAATTCTTTTCTGTTTAAGGTTTCCTTCATTATATATGTATGTATTTTTTTTCCTGAACAAAAGGTTTGTATTTTACCTTTAATCTTGGAAGATAATTTTGCCAGATCTTCAATTCAATATTGAAGGATATTTTCTCTCAGATGTAGAGAAATTAGTCAGAGGTGTTATGGAGCCAGTGTACCTATAAGATGGAAGTGTTATGGAGCCCATATACCTGTAAAATTCAGGTATACACGTCTCTCCCCAACTCTGCATCCTTCAATGGTGGCAGGATGCCAGCTTGAAATCAGCTGTAGTAGGAGGGTTTACACTGTGGATATCAGAAATGCTAAAAGCCAGGACTTCCCCTACCTCTTCCTACTGAAGAGCCAGTTTCAGAGATTTACTGGCACATCAGTGTCCTCTTGTTTCCTGGCTCCCCTGGTTGCTACCAAGAAGTCAGCTGTCCATCTGTCCTGCTTTTGTAGGTACTCTGACCACCTCCGTGCCTACCACCTACAAGTTGATTTAAAGTCATCCCTTTTTCTTTGATGTTTTGCCATTTTGTCATCAGGTGTCTGCTTGTAGATTTCTTTTTAAAGTATCTTACTTGATATTTTAATGTTTCCTGTTCAGTATGTCATATGTATCTATGCATCCAATTCATATTTATTATTCATATGTATCCGTTCATCAGTTCTTAAAAATTCTCAAAATATCAAATCTTACTTCCTCCTATTCTATCTACTCAATTCTTTTATATCTAAATTATATGAACTTAGACTTGCTAATTCTATCATCATATTTCTTACACTCTTCTTGTAGTTTTCATTCTTTGATATAACATCTTGCATTCTGGGCAATTCATTTGGCTTTATCATCACATTCACTAGTCCTCTCCTTATTTATGCCTAATCCCATTCAATGAATCATTTCTTATTGATTTTATCTTTCATTTCTAAAAATAATATTTTGCTCTTTTTGAAGCATGACTGTTAAAAAAGATAATTTTTTGTCTCCATTCTTTTGTTCGTTTCCATCTTTTTATGTATTTAGGCATTTCATTAATAGTTATTGAACATTTTGTCTCTGATAATTCCAACATCTGAAGTCTGTGGGGGTCCCAGTCTGTTACTAGCTGTTTTCTAGATTTTTTCCTGTGGTAGCTTGTTTCCTTATGCTGTGTGTGTGTGTGTGTGTGTGTGTGTGTGTGTGCATGTGCGCATGTGTGTTTGTTCATATTGATTGCAATTAATTTGTGACAACTCTAAGGATCAAAAATCAAGACACTTTCCTCAAAATAAGATTTTTTTTAACTTCTACCAGGTGCCAGGAGGTACTACCAACTTAGGACAATTTTAATTTCTCACCTTTTTTTTTCTGAACAGTGAAGAAATATAAATTTGAGCTCCATATCTGAGTGAGATCAGTCTTCTGGTTGAAGTCTTAGCAGAAATGTTGTTACTATTAGTATCATTAACCAAATTAAAACATATTAGGAAAGAGGGAAAATTTGGGCTTACTGACCACAAAGCCCAGACCTTTTTCATGGCCCCCTGCTCTGTGTAATGGAAGTTCCAATAATATCCTCTTGTTAAAAATGAAAAAAAAAAATCCTCATTAAATCTTACCACTGTGTAGAGCATTCATATGACCCTTCACTCTTTCAGCTAAGCCAGCAATAAGACTGGTGAATTGAAACTTTAAAGCAAGGCACTACAGACAACTTGTTATTTTATTTCTGGTGCTTCGTAATTATCAGATAGAAAAGAACTGTTAAGATTGAGGAGGAATCCTGCATTAGTCCATTTTGGCATTGCCATAAATACTTGAGACTAGGTAATTTATAAAGAAAAAATGTTTAATTGACTTATGGTTCTACAAGCCATAGAAGAAGCACGATGCTGGTATCTGCTCAGCTTCTGGGAAACCTCAAGAATTTTAAAGTCATGGCAGAAGACAAAGGAGGAGCAGGCATGTCACATGGTCAGAGCAGGAAGAAGAGAGAGGAGGAAGGTGCCACACAATTTTAAACAATTATATCTCACCAACTCACTCACCATCACAAGGACATCAACAAGAGGATGGTAGTAAACTATTCATCAGAAATCTTCCCTCATGAGCCAATCACCACCCACCATGTCCTACTTCCAACATTAAGGATTACAATTCAACATGAGATCTGAGTGAGGACACAGATACAAGCCATATCAAATACCCAATAAAATGTCTTCATTGTTCTAAGGATGGGAAACATCTGCCTACTGGGCTGCCTTCCCATTTGAACAGCTGTTGAACAGATGGAAGGATTTGGACCAACACTTAACCTCAACACTCTGGTCTATGAAAGTTACCTAGCAGAAGGTAAAGGGAGACAATATGAGCATCCAGGCTTATTATTTAGAAAGGACACTAATCCGGGGGGAACTCTGGAACAAGGAAACCAAACCCCATGCATCAGAAATAGAGCAGAGTAGGGATGGAGAAAACAGGAAGGGATGGTATTAAGATGGCTACATGGAATTAATGATGAATGCAACTGAACTTCACAATTTTAGAAAAGATTGCTTTGGAGGTCATTTCCAACTGTAAATCAAACACTCGAAAGCATTTTTCATGGTAGATAGATACGAAAAAAAAAGTATGTAGTAAATCTAGTGTCTCAGTTTTCTTCAGTACCACCAATAGCATTTCATTGCAAAGCAAAAGCAAGTTTGTTCATTTTCTTTTTGTCCAAGAAAGGACCAATTCCTTATTAAAGAGGACAGTGGTTTAGTACATACTCTATACCAGCCATGGTGCTACAGATACTGTTATAAATAAAGCAGTTTTTTGTTTGTTTGGTTTTTTGTTTGTTTGTTTCCTGAAGGTCCCCATGATGTAGATACTGGCCCACAAAAAATAGCCGATATAATTGTCTACATTAAAACTTCACTGTTGGTTCTCTAAGAATGTTGATGCTCATATCTGTCAAGTTATGGGATATTGCAAACTTTATTCTGTGGTTTACTGACATTTCTTAACTTTCAAGTGAGAATTCCTTGTTCTGGCCGATTGCATCAGTGAATTTAAGAAAAATAACATTAAAAGAGAGAGAACATATATTTAGGGAAGTAACCCATTTGGAAGAGAGAATGTTTCTGGAAATGTACTTATTTCATTTGAAAGTATAGATGTATATGCCTCAGATTTAAACATAGCGTGCTCTATCACTGTTATTTCTAAGTCTCTGTTTAACTTGGCCCTGTCACAAGAGCATAGACAGCCAGGCAGACTTAGGAATTGAAAAAACTTGAAACTTCTAAAAGAAACTCTCCTTTTTTCTGTTTAATTTATTTTTTTCTGGTCCTGATGTCCCCTTCTTTACTCTTCTAAAATATATCAAGAAAGTTTGATTTCAAAACAAAAACTACTATTGTTTGGTGAAATTAAGAGTTACTATTATTATTATCATCGTCATACTTCTGAGAGAAGTATGATATTACTCTTCTGAGAGAAGACTTCTTGCCAGTCTGCAGAATTAAGAAGTAGCTACTTTTTAAAAATATGTAAAC